AACATTTTCCCCATTTTGTTGCTAATGCAAGCTGATGAAGATATGTAACGGGGTATAATTTGCTACCTTTCAGGTTTTCCGTTTGGTTGTTTGGTCTTGTTATTTAATTAATGGGATTTCGAGATTTATTTTTCATAGTTAAAAAAGTAAAAAAAGATGTTATGGGTTGTGGTCTATATACGTTTCTATTGTAGTTATACTTTTGAAGTTTTGGTCTTGGTTTTATGGGAACTAGGATTTGATTCTTATGTTTGGTGGAATTTGTTCTTTGTGTCCTTAGTCTAAAATATTGAGGAGTTACTTTTGTTCTAGAAGGTTTTGTTGTACATTTCACTTGGAGGTTGTTTATCAGGTGATATGATTTGCTGTATTCTGATTGGTTATTTGGGTGGCGCATTTTATTAAAAGATATGAATCAGTACTTTCTCTCACTCTTCTTTCTCTGCTTGGATGACTGGTTCCTGAGGTTCATACAGCTCATTTCCACAAACTGGTAAGACACATTTACATTACATATAATTTAAAACACATGAATGCTTGATATGTGACTTTATTTTGTGAAATATATATAAAGTGTGTAGAATGAATGATTCTATATTATGATTTTATGAAATAATTTATAGACTTTATCCAAAGATGTATACTATTCAAAAAAAGTAGGGGATATTAAAGTCACCTAATGAAACTGACGAAGAAACAAATGACAAAATGAAATGAAGTTCACATTCGTCGATTTATTCCAAATGATCGTTAGACTAAGTAAGGCACAGACTGACCATTATAAGGGTAAAATGATACCCGGGGTCAAACAGCAAAGTTACCACAGCATCACAACCAAGTCAGTTACGGGTAAATCCTCCTCTGTTTGCCAAACAAGCATTGATCCGACGTGGCATACTCCTAATGAGACGTCTAAGGTCATTTTGGTCCAGATTGTCCCATTCCTGTTGCAACGCAGCAGCAAGTTCTTGGACATTGGCAGGACGTTGTTGACGTTGACGTAACCTCTGTCCAAGCATGTCCCAGACTTGCTCGATGGGGGAGAGGTCGGGACTCAGTGCTGGCCAAGGTAATGTGGTGATGTTCTGTTGTTGGAGGTAACCTGTAACGATCCTGGCCCTGTGACATCTTGCGTTGTCATCCTGGAAGATGAAACGGCGGCCATGACGTCGTGCGAACGGCACAACATGGACTGCCAAGATGTTGTCCCGGTAGTACTGGCCTGTAACACGCCCTGCAACAACATGTAAAGCCGTTCTTCCAGCAACAGTGATGCCTCCCCACACCATAACAGAACCACCCCCAAATCGATCATGTCTGATGACGTTAACGTCTTGGAAGCGCTCGTTTCGACGACGCCACACCCTCCTACGTCTGTCCAAAAAATCAACAGTGAACCTTGACTCATCTGAAAACATCACATTGCTCCAGCGTCGATTATCCCAGTGTTGACGATCCCTACACCAACGACGTCTTGCCTGAATGTGATGATCTCTCAAACAAGGGATCACGCGAGGACGTCGGGCGCGAAGGTGACCCCTATGCAGTCGATTCCGAATCGCCTGGCCACTCACTCTCACACCAGTGTCTGTTTGAAGACGAGCGCTGATCTGATTTGCTGTGATGACACGATTTCTCAAGGCCAAGGTACGGATAAATCGATCCTGGGCTTGAGTTGTCGCCCTTGGTCGACCTGAGCGTGGTCTGTCCTGTACAGATTGTGTATCACGGTATCTGGACCATAGCCTGCTTATGACAGACTGAGAAACATTCATCGTCCGCGCCACAACCGCCTGTGTTGTGCCGATCTGTAGCATGCCAAGGGCACGTAACCTTTCATTTTGGGTAAGCCGACGCATATCAAAATTTGTTTTCTGGTCACTAAAACAATTAAACTGATGTTTCCACCCTGGAATTCAATGCCACAATGACTGTAACATTCAAAGTCAGAGTCGTGCAAATCTTGGGTTGGACCCCCATGATGATCCCAAGCATCACTTGCATTCCATGCGGTAGCTATTGGTGCGTTTGGGCGTCACATGTAACTGGAAATGTTTCTTCTGTTAGGTTCTATAGTGACTTTTTTCGTAGTCATTTGCATATTTTAGTATTATGCCCCCAAAATCAGATATCCCCTACTTTTTTTGAATAGTATAAGTTAATCATTCGGTTTACTGTGATATGATTAAGATTGTATAACATTGACTTGTATCATTAGTTTAGTATGGAATGTATTTTTGTTCTTTCAGGGCATGTTATTATTATTCATGAGATTTTTTGACGTTCTTCATATGATGCTCTTGTGCTTCATCTCTAAACTGTAACCGCGTTCGCGGAATGATCATTATAATATTTTGTTGTAACTATGTGATATTGGTGATATTTATATAAACTTTTAAACCATCTTGTGTTATCATTTCATCGAACCCTTAAAGCAGCGAGTCTAAACTTTTAATTAGGCGCCGCATATAGCTGCGACAGATTCTCCCAAATGCATGACAACCCAGACCAAGGACTACTCCGCCCAAGACCACTCAGACCAATAGAGAAGTCCACTCAAAGACAGAAGACCACTATGGTTAAGACTGTGTCATCATTATTGAGGTGAAATACAATGTGCAGTACTCATACCCCACAAGTTGTTATGGAGAGAGAATTGGGGTTTAACGTCCACTCGACACAAACTAGGTCATTTTGGGACTAACATATCGTTTAATGTTTTTATTTCAATAATTCGCTTGCACGTAGAGGTCTTTAACAGTGGGAGGAAAGGGGAGGACCCAGAGATAACCCACGAGGTTGGACAGGCGACCCTACTCCTTGTCACGTACAACCGGGGATTCGAAACCACGCCTGTTGACTCGATGACAGGCTTTATGATACAGTGCGCACGTGCTAACAATTCGGCCATCCAACCCCCATGTTATGGAGAAAATTAGAACCGAAATAGATGAGCTGATACAAGTGCACTTACTTTTTTTGAAAAAAATATGTATGAAGAATTATTTCTGCCTTTGCATCACCAGTCAAAAAGGGGGCATATTCTGGCGCATTCCTCCCAGGTTGCCTGACTGTAGCTGTGGAAATTTAAACCCCTCTTGTTAAACTCTATTGAACAAATGACAGGGTTAGGGTGACTAAAGATCAAGCACCAAACAAAATTTTCAATGTGAATGTAAATCAAGCTGCATTACACTTTTACAGATAGATCAGTAATAGATGTACTTGTTACAAGTGAAAACTTTCTTGTATGGTTTTGTGTATATTGTTCGAATATAAAAGTGACAGCCAAACATATGCTGACAGTGACATTGATTTTAATAGTGATGATGATATTGATGAAATTATGTGAGTAGGCCTACACCTGTATACATGTATTTTTGTAAGCGGTTTTTTTAATATTACATATTTTAAATATGTTTTACTTAAATGTACTGTACATGTCAATAAATTTTCATATTATATTTTGTCACTTTATGCTTACTATATGTTTTTATTTTACTTTTTTTTTTATTCTAATTCATTTCCGGTGCAGGCGGAGGGCTGACAAGGCACAAGAACAGCAGTCTAGTCGAGGTCCTGTGTATACATTGGTGTGCACGTAAAAAGATCCCTTGGCAGCTGTAATTTGATATAAACGTAGGCCATAGTGCTGTGCCCAGGCAAAATTTGCTTTATAGCACACTGTATAGCGTATATGCCCATCTTCATTAGACCATTTCATTTCTAATTCATTTTACTAGAACCATTTTACTTAGGTAATTACCGTTTGTTTTTCTCTTATATGTACTTTTATTTACTGGTTGGTATATATCTTTCAATTTTGTACAGTGTATATGGGCACAAGACCTGATCTCTGTGTAAATACATGTTTTCTGTGAATAAAAGAACCTGAACAGCACATTAGAAACCGTTCTCCAGTATTAATACACTTTAAAAAATGATATTATTATTATTATATACATTTTTCATTAATGGTATTGTTGTGTACGAGGAAATTTATATAATTGCATTTGTTTATTTTTTTTAATTTCTTTCTTTAAATAAATGTAATCTCATACTCTCTTATAGGGGGTTGGGTAGCGGAATGGGTAGCATATCATAAGGTCTGTCATTGAGTCCGCTGGCGTGGTTTAGATTTCACAGTTGTACTTGACAAGGAGAAGGGTGGCCTGTCCAACCTCATGGGTTTTCTCCGGGTCCTCCGGTTTTCTCCCACTGCTAAAGACCACTACACGCAAGCGAATTATTGGAATAAAATTGAACCAAAATTACCTAGTTTGTGCCGAGTGGAAGTTAAACCCCATTTCTCTCTCTCTATACTCTTATAATAAGTCTATTGTTTTCTCGTTTTAAAAAAATAGTAAAATTGATGGAGGTGAATTATTATTAATTTTATCGATCAGATCACATGGTATTATTATTTTTGTTTTTTCTTAGCATTATATATCGTCGGTGGGCGATCAAAACCTCGTATATCGATTTTGGCGCCAAAAACGTTTTTTACATGGTTAGAATCGTATATTAATGGCGCGTCGAATGCTCTATTCGCGGGTGTTGTAATCCAGTTAGAAATCAAGTTATAGGCATGTGACTAAACATCGTATTCTGATTCGTGAAATTTTCTATAAACCAAAATGTCGTATCTTATATACGCCAATTTGTCATAAAACATCTTTCAAAGTCACGTGGTTTTTAAGAACCAAACGGTCGTATCTCCTAATTGACGTCGACGCAGGCTACAGGCTAACAAGGTAAGAATTTAATTTCACATTACTAAGTCTTTAAGTTTTGTCTAACACAGCCTGTCGATGGGTATTGTTTATTTTGACATCATAGTAGTTATTTTCAATCTGAATGATAGAGGAATTCACATTAGAAAGAGATGAAACGTGTAAAACTGTGTCCCAAATCTAGATGAAAAAAAAAAGAAAACAATAGTCTTGAACTTTTAGACACTCGAGCGAACCAGCTTACTGAAGAATTTAATTTCACATTACTAAGTCTTAAGTCTTGTCAAACTGTTTTATTATTATTATTATTTGTTTCAGTTACCCATTACAATGGCGTATTCAAATCCGTCTTTGTCATAAAATATCTTTCAAAGTCAGGTGTTTTTTAAGAACCAAAAAGTCGTATCACCTAGTTGACGTCGAAGCAGGCTACAGGCTACTACTAGTACTATTACTAAGAAGGTAAGGATTTAATTTAACATTACTAAGTCTTTAAGTTTTGTCTAACACAGCCTGTTGATGGGTATTGTTTATTTTGACATCATAGTAGTTATTTTCAATCTAAATGATAGAGGAATTCACGCTAGAAAGAGATGAAACGTGTAAAACTGTGTCCGAAATCTAGATGAAAAAAAAAGAAAACAATAGTCTTGAACTTTTAGACACTCGAACGAACCAGCTTACTTACGAATTTAATTTCACATTACTAAGTCTTAAGTTTTGTCAAACTGTTTTATTATTATTCTTATTTGTTTCAGGTACCCATTAGAATGGTGTATTCGAATCCGTTTTTGTCATAAAATATATTTCAAAGTCAGGTGGTTTTTAAGAACCAAAAGTCATATCTCCTAGTTGACGTCGAATAAGGCTACAGGCTAATAGTACTATGTAAGAATTTAATTTCACATTACTAAGTCTTAAGTGTTGTCTAACACAGCCTGTCGATGGGTATTGTTTATTTTGGCATAATAGTAATATTTTGAATCTAAATGATAGAGGGGGGGGGGGAATCACGTGGCTAAGTGGGTAAGACGCTGGCTCGCTAGCCTGGAGGTCGGGTGTTCGATTCCTGCATTGGCCGAGAAAGTTCATCCAGATTTTCCGGCGTGGTTCTCCCTTGTCAGTGATGCAGGACGGAGGGCCTGGCAAGGACAGCTGTCTAGTCGTTCGGATGGGACGAAAAACCGAGGTCCCGTGTACACATTGGCTTGCACGTAAAAGATCCCTTGGCAGTTGGAATTCGATATAAGAATAGGCCGAAGCGCAAAATTTCCCTCATAGCACACTGTATGGCGTATGCCCGTCTTCATTAGCCCAGTTCGGGGCAGAACAGTAGGACGTTAAACCCCATTTCATTTCATTTCATGATAGAGGAATTCACTTAAGAAAGAGATGAAACGTGTAAAACTGTGTCCCAAATCTAGATGAAAAAAAAAGAAAACAATAGACGAACCAGCTTACTTACGAATTTAATTTCAAATTACTAAGTCTTTAAGTTTTGTCAAACTGTTTTATTATTATTCTTATTTGTTTCAGGTACCCGTTACAATGGTGTATTCGAATCCGTCTTTGTCATAAAATATATTTCAAAGTCAGGTGGTTTTTAAGAACCAAAAGTCATATCTCCTAGTTGACGTCGAATAAGGCTACAGGCTAATAGTATTATGTAAGAATTTAATTTCACATTACTAAGTCTTAAGTGTTGTCTAACACAGCCTGTCGATGGGTATTGTTTATTTTGGCATAATAGTAGTATTTTGAATCTAAATGATAGAGGGGGGGGGGGGGGGGTCACGTGACTAAGTGAGTAAGACGCTGGCTCGCTAGCCTGGAGGCCGGGTGTTCGATTCTTGCATTGGCCGAGAAAGTTCATCCAGATTTTCCGGCGTGGTTCTCCCTTGTCAGTGATGCAGGACGGAGGGCCTGGCAAGGACAGCTGTCTAGTCGTTCGGATGGGACGAAAAACCGAGGTCCCGTGTACACATTGGCTTGCACGTAAAAGATCCCTTGGCAGTTGGAATTCGATATAAGAATAGGCCGAAGCGCAAAATTTCCCTCATAGCACACTGTATGGCGTATGCCCGTCTTCATTAGCCCAGTTCGGAGCAGAACAGTAGGACGTTAAACTCAATTTCATTTCATTTCATGATAGAGGAATTCACTTAAGAAAGAGATGAAACGTGTAAAACTGTGTCCCAAATCTAGATGAAAAAAAAAGAAAACAATAGTCTTGAACCTTTAGACACTCGAACAAACCAGCTTACTTAAAGAGCCAGCTTGAAGGACCAAGAACGTGACATGAGTTAACCTAATCAATTAAGCGTTGCACGGCCTTGCTTTAAAAGTAGTTTGAATCTGACATATCAACTGAACTTCAGTACATGAGTCAGTACATATAGGTTTAGTGGAACACAGGCGTAAATACTTTATCGAGATACCCGCCGGGGTGGGGGTGGGTGGGATATGTCTAACACGTGCGCTAAATGTTATTTAATCTAGTGGCGTGGTTACGTCGAACCCACACTGTAAGTGACAAGGAGTAGATTGCCTAATTTCGAGGGTTTTCTCAGGATCCTCCAGTCTCTTTCCACTGCCAAAGACCACACTTATTGAAATGAACATTTAACCATGTTATTCCCGAAATGACCTAATATCACTTTCTCCCTCACCCCCTCTCTCCCCCCACCCCCGTTGATGTTGTATGTCATTCCCGAAATGACTTAATATCACTTCCCCCCCCCTCCTCCAACCCCCACCCCCGTTGATGTTGTATGTGTATCAAACTGTTTTATTATTATTCTTATTTGTTTCAGGTACCCATTAAAATGGCGTATTCGAATCCGTCTTTGTCAAGGGGGAAACGTATGCTTCAGATCTCCTTAAATTCGAATACATCGAAAGCTAAGACTCAGGAAGTACATGTGCTACCTACTTATAAACTGTTTAAAAATGAGAAAGTTTCCACAACAAATTTAAAATATTCCAGTAGTGAAGATAGCCACGATTCACGTAAAGATTCCGATTTTTTACCAGAACGTAAGAAATCTCGTTTATATTCCGATAAAAATGTCCTTAAATTAAGACATAATTTTTCTATTAATCAAGGCCGCCTGAATGCTATAGTAATACCGGCATCGGAACATAAAGCTATACCTGAAAGTCCCTCTAAATATATTCTATCGGACTCCTGCAAGTCGATTCCATCTGGCACATCTAATCAAGCATCTAGTCGGAGATTTACTATAAATAATGGAAGGCTTAATGACATTTCAAAACCCTCTACAGACCCCTTAGAAATATGTAGCTGTGATCATGAGTTAGATTGGCTGTCTTCTTATCTGGCCCCAGCACCACGTGCAGTTACTAACACGTACCTTGCTCCAACACCACCTCGTGCAACCAGTACTTACCTTGTTTCAACATCATTTCCAGGCCCAAGTACTTACCAGGACCCAGTGCCACCAAATGAAACCAGTACTTACCTCGCCCCAGCACCACCTCCAATAACTAATAATTACTTCGCTCCAGAACCATCACCACTACTCAGTATTCATCCCGCTCCGGCAACACCTCAAGTAAATGGTACTTACATACCTTTAGCACCTCCCCCAGTAACCAGTACTTACATTCCTTTACCATCTCTAATAACCAGTACTCACATCCCTTCAGCACCACCTCTGGTAAACAGTACTTACCTCGCCCAAGCACCACCTATAGTAACCAATACTTACATTCCTTCAGCATCACCTCTGGTAACCAATACTTACTTCGCTCAAGCACCACCACTAGTAACCGGTACTTATATTCCTTCAGCATCACCTTCGGCATCTAGTACTTACCTCGCTCAGGCACATGCTCTAGTAACCGGCACTTACAACCCTCCAGCATCACCTTCGGTAACTAGTACTTACCTCGCTCAAGCACAACCTCTAGTAACCAGTACTTACACCCCCCTAGCATCACTTCCAGTAACTAGTTCTTACCTCGCCCAAGCACAACCTCTAGTAACCAGTACTTATGTAAATTCAACACCATCTTCAGTAACCAGTTCTTACCTCGCTCACGCACCACCTTCAGTAACCAACATTTACCTCGCTCCAACATCAACAAAAAGAACTTACCTTGATTTCGATTCGCAGACAAATTCTAGCCTCGTTTCGTCATCGTTGGGGAGTACAGTCCTTGCTTCCACACACGCTACAAATATTTACAATGCTTCAGCATCAACACAGTCTAATCATCTGTTGACAGTTACAGGATTGCCATCGTCAGACATTTCAGCCACAGTCGAGTCGGTCGCAATTTCAATTGAAGAAAACAAAGCAATAGAATCCGCTGAAGAATCAATATCAGCTGATATACTAAAAAGAGCTAAAAAGGGGTCCTCTGATCCAGCAGTTTGGCTTAAGAACAACAACCAACAATTACGCATGCATGGTAAACCATACATGGGTTTAGTTCATAATGATGGACATTACAAATATGCTGCTAAGAGATCAGGAAAAACACTTAAACCATCGTCCTGCACATCAAAGTGTAAAGCTCCAAATCCTAACAAATTCTGTTCAAAATTTACAGAGGATGACAGACGTAGTCTATTTGAAGCATTCTGGAAGATGAGTTGGGACCAAAAAGAGGTATACATAGTAAATCTTGTAAAGAAATGTAATGTCAGAGATAGAACCGTATGCGAAACGGAAGAAAAGACATACAGAAAGCAAACTACTTACCATTACCACTTAATTAAAAACAATGACAGGTTACAGGTCTGCAAGAATATGTTTTTATCGACGTTTGCTCTCGGAGAAAAAATGGTGTACAGATGGGTCGACCGTTCCAAAAATGGTACAACACCTGGCTCGACCGAAAAGAGAAAAAAATCCAAGAATAGAGAATCGTCTACATATTTAACCGCTAGACAATTTCTAGACTCTTTACCTAAATTGCCGTCCCATTACTGCCGATCATCGTCAGACAAGATGTACTTAGAACCAGTCTTCACAACATTTATGTCCTTGTATAAGGAATTTGCGAGCTACTGCCAACGCGAAGACCATCCGGTTACAAATCGAAAGAGCTTTCGGCAGGCATTTGAAGATATGAACCTGTCTATCTTTACTCCGAAGAAAGATCAATGTGATTTATGCTGCTCATTTGAAACCAAAAATATATCTGAGGAGGTGTATGCAGAACACATACAACGTAAGAATGATGCAAGAGAGGAGAAGATAAAGGACAAGGAATCGATAGATGCAAGTACCGCAGTGATAACGATAGATTTGCAGGCTGTTTTATTGTGCCCCTCATTAAATGCTAGTTCGTTATATTATAAAACCAAATTGGCATGCCATAACTTTACAATTTTTGATTTGGGTACCAAAAACACTGTTTGCTATTTTTGGCACGAAGGAGAGGGAGATTTGTCCGCCAATTCATTTGCATCTTGTTTATGCGATTATGTTATTAATTATTTACCATCTAATGTCAAAACCCTGATTATTTATTCAGATGGGTGTACTTATCAAAATAGAAATTGTATATTGGCAAATTCACTATTAAAGCTATCTTTTGATAGGGATATTATTATAATTCAAAAGATACTAGAACGTGGACACACCCAAATGGAGTGTGATAGTGTTCACAGTACGTTTGAAAGACAACTGCGCAATAAACCGATTTATACACCATCTGACTATGTACGAATTTTACAATCAGCTAGGGCATGTCCGTATGAGGTTAGATATCTGTCACACGATTTCTTCAAAGAGTATTCATCTTTAAGGTATTATACATCCATTCGCCCTGGAATTCGTACGGGAGATCCGGTAGTAACAAATTTGAGAGTTTTGAAGTATCTCCCTAGGGGGGAAATATTATACAAATTAAATTATAAAGACGAGTATCGGTTTCTACCAAGAAAATCCAAACTTAGTAGCCCATCACAAAACGACGAAGTTGAACGATTATTTCAAGAACCTCTTAAGATAAAATGTAGCAAATATCAACATCTTCAGGAATTGAAAACGGTAATTCCAAGAGATTATCACGCATTTTATGATCGATTGAGTCATGATTAGAAGTAGAAGCTTTGCTTGAAAATTATAAAATTGTTCATTTGTCTATGAAGTGTTTATTACAATTGTTAATTAAATGTATTATCCAAGAGATTATGACACATTTTTGATTAATTAAGTCATGATTGGAACTAGAAGCTTTGCTTTAGAATTATAAAATTGTTCATTTGTTTATGAAGTGTTTATTACAATTGTTAATTACATGTATTATCCAAGCGATATCCAAGTCATGATTAGAACTAGGAGCTTTGCTTGAAAATTATAAAATTGTTCATTTGTTTATGAAGTGTTTATTACAATTGTTAATTAAATGTATTATCCAAGAGATTATCACGCATTTATTATCGAGTCATGATTAGAAGTAGGAGCTTTGCTTTAGAATTATAAAATTGTTCATTTGTTTATGAAGTATTTATTACAATTGTTAATTACATGTATTATCAACAAAATATAAAATAAAAATTTTTGAAAAGTCTTATTCGATAGCTTTTCTCTAATAGATTCCATGCTCCTGGCTAAACGTACATTAGGTTTTGTTTATAACTCCTGTTTATGGAGTAAATATCACGACACTTGATATCTTATCTTAGGTTGTGTGGTCAGTATCCCGATCCAAGGCTATATTTACCTACCAGAACCGATCCAGGGCTATTTACCTGGGTAACTTAGGTTGAATTATGTCGTGGATATTATAGCCCTGGATTACTTACCTTGAATTATGTCTTGGATATTATGGCTCAGGGTTATTTGCCTTGAATTATGTCGCGAAAATTACAGCCTATAGTATAGGTTACTTAACCTTGAGTAATGTCGTGGATACCATCGCCCCGGGTAACTTACCTTGAATTGTGTAGTGGATATCATGACCCCGGTTAACTTACCTTTGGTCGGTGGCGGACCGAGGTACCCCGCCCCCTTAAATAACAGTATAAAAAATAACGTGTAAATTTCAGCACTTTGTTGGGGTGATACAGCTGATGAAATTGAGAGTTATATTCGGGTGCAGATAAGCTTCACAATCCACCACTGACACCCCGATTTTTCCCGATTTGCTCGCACCCCCCTCCCCCCCTCCGGGGCCGATAAAAAAAATATCCTGCGTCCGCCACTGTACTAGGTAAATTACCCTAAAAACATAATCTGTGTAAATAGGTCATTAAGAACAAAACGTCGTATATACCCAGAACAGGCTTATAGTTTGTGAACAGAACGTCGTATATCACATACGCCGCCATTTCACAAGACAAAATGTCGTATATAGCCACAGCACATAAACCCCTAAAATTATCCAAAAAATAACCTTCCCATATTATATTTTCCATAATTTAGTTCATAAATTAGAAATATAATCACATTCAATAAAAAATCCGGGACCGCAGATAGTTTTTTGTTTCCCCTGAAAACTTACTAAAATCCGATATACGAGGTTTTGATCGCCCACCGACGATATAATTATAAGACCGAACCAGTATTTCAAGCATGCCAAAATCGTTCTCATCTGTATTAAGTATAATATTTCTCTTGGATATTGTTTCACTGATGGCGTCACGCTAAGACACGGTAAATTTCGCTGCGTGGATTATTGCTTGTTCATGAAGAAACTCTTTTAAAGAATCTACACGAAAGTTTAAAGTGATACGTGATTGGATTATACTATAAACTAATCAACTTATAATCAGTAAAAACAACAAAAACAGTGAGTTTTTTGCGATTGATTTATTATCCCCTGGTTTTGTTTACATTTTCAATGGCGTCCCCAGCAACACCGACACCAAGCAGGAAAAGACCAAACACTATCTCACCAATAGACATGCAACGTGAAATATTATTAGCATCAAGTTTGTCCGATTCTGTCCTGAAAAGAACTAAACAAACCAATATAAAATCAATGTTTACCCAATCCGGAAATGATGTTGATAAAACATATAGACCTACATCTGAATACGAAGATGATACTTTGTCTGACATTTCGTTACAAGCTGACCTAACCAATTCTGACTTTAATAACTTCTCTGGTACTATTGACAAAGAGCAGACAAATCTTAAAGAAATCGACACATCTACTTCAGTAACTGACGAAAAAACTGCAAAAACACACCCTATAAACACTTTTTCTGAACAGGAAGATTCCATTTTTGATAAAACCGTAGAGGCACTCACTCATCAAATTGCCCTATCTTTTCACAGCAGGCAAGTTAAGGATGCTATCAGGCCTTTCATAGAACAGATGGTCCAAGAAGAGATTACAAAACAAATTGCTCCTCTCCAAAATGAAATCGAGTCCCTAAAATTACAGTTAGCCACAACATCCCTCCATCTCAATGCATCTGTACAAGACAAGTGTGACGAGCTCGAACAATATAGTCGAAAAAACTGCATACGTATAAGCGGAATTAAAGAAGATTTAAATGAAAATGTTGAAGGTAAAATCATGAAAGTTCTCACCACTATTGATAACTCCCTAAGTCCAAACAACATCGAAAACTGTCATCGTCTAGGTAGAAAACAAGACAACAAGCATCGCCAAATAATTGTAAGACTTAAAAGCTACAAAACAAAAGTACATATTATGAAGAACAGGAAAATGGCTCAAACAGCAATAAAAGGCGTATATATAAATGAAGACCTGACTAGATACAGAGCATACGTAGCAAGTATTACACGCTGGTCATACAAACAGGGTTTTATTGCTGCCTGCTGGACCAGTGACAGTAAAATATTCATACGTGAAAACAGTACTGTTCCAGGAAAGAATGGCCCGACTCGTAAACTAACAAGCCCGGTTGAAGTGCCCGGTTATAAACCAACAAGTGAAGAACTAATTAATTACAATCTAACCAGTTCACTGCAAGCTCAGACCAACTCTCCATCCGCTGAAATATAGTGTAACATAGAAAATCTGTACATCATTGTTAATATCAATACCTGTGAAGATAACCCTGCCCCCTCAATAACCAACAATAATTCATAAGTGTCTACCCTTTAGAATATAAATTTCCAAAATGTTTTGCCTGTTAAATTTGCATGAAAGATCTAAAAATGAATTTATAAACTTATATATCTGTGAATTTTGCACATTGATATTAAAGGGAAACAACCCTCTTTAATGCACCATCAATATCCCATTGAATTTTTAATATTACTTATATATATTATTATATGTATTAGCTATATTAATTTTTTATGATTATGATATCTTTATTAAGCTTACTTAAGATTGAATATTATAGCCAACAAACATTATAGTTCTTGTAATAAGTAATTGGAATTCAATATCAAACTTGCATAACCAAATATATACACCTATAGACTTTACCCATATTATATATTTGTTTGTAAATTAGCCTGTCTGTATAAAGCTGGTCTGAAATGTTCTCTGAATCTCCTGCAAAATAGTGCAAAACATAAAATCAAGTAGTTAATCATCTTTAGTAGCTTATTGCAAAGTTTGTAAATCAACTGACTATAGTAAATCAGAAATCATAATACTACACTATTTAGAGTTGTCATTTGTATTGTAAAAGACTGATAATAAGCTGGGGGTACATGTATATGATGCTGTATATGATGTTTACAGGTTTACTGCCAGTGTTATTAACTGCTATGCATGTTATGTTAAGAGTAAGATTATAATAATACATACTGTTTTAAGTTAGATGAAACTGATTAGAAACCAGACAAGTAGAATCCAATCGCTAATTGCTTAGTTCCGAGTAGAGCATACTTCCTTTATATTGTTTAGTTTTTATCTATATTTATAACTGACAACTCAAATTCTCAATTACTATAATATGAATTTTAAATATCAAGATAGTTTAATATGTAAAATACTTACCCTTATTAGCCCCTGTGCTATGCATGTGCATTAACTGTCTGCAGTTTACTCATCTAAAAAAAAAAAAACCCCAAAAAACCCAACAATTATTGAGATTGTAAACCTTTTGAATTGATTAATTTTGCGATTACTATAACCCCAATGTTAGTTAATGGTTAAATAACACTGTAGGCCTAAAGGCTTTTATGCAGTAAAATTACCAATAACCCCATCCGTCACAGTGCAAATTGTTTTCTTAGAAGAGTGTCAATACTCAACTTTAAACATTGACCTAAACAGAGGCCTGCTTCACGAAACTTTGATTAGGACGGAATCTAAGTTTTAGTAATATGATTGGATAATTAGATCGATTTTATTGCCTAGTATTTACTAAGATTTGAATTTTATCTTTGGTTATATTTTCAAGAAGCAGTAGCCCTGAACTGTCAATGCTAGGGAACTATGTAAATAAAATTGAAGCATATGGTAATCCCAAACTTACCTAGTTTCTCTCAACAATAACAGTATCATTTTTACCTGAAATAAGAATTACTAAGTAATAACACAAATCTGTTGAACTTGAAGTGACAAGTCAGAAATATTAGAAAACAGAACACGAAATTATAAATAATGAAATGACAGTATGCTGCGAAATTGCAAAATACTCCTAAATAGCCCTTGCACGTCATCGTTAATAATGGTAATTGGTATCAAGCTTTGTAACTGTGCCAACTCTCCTAAATATGCACATTGTCCACGTACGATTAACTTTAAGCAGGTAGCTTTAGGCCTACTAGGTAGTCTATGAATGAACGATTGTTATGTTACTACTAGTGTTAGTATTAAAATTTTATATATTATAAACAATGTTGGAAACTTTTGCCTTGTTGAGTAATTAACGGTTATGGGCTTGTATCAACAAACTGCACAACTCAAATTAAAACTGTTTATCAAACCAAACTACATGTGAATTTACTCACCACCTAAATTGGCCGTTATTTTCTAAACTGTATTGTGCTGTAAACACCATGCTCTCTTCCCTTGTCGAGCTCAACGTGCCAATCAAAGAAAAATCACGTGACGTGACTCTTCCATTCGCACAATATCAACATTTGCTGTTTTATTATTTGTTATTTCTCCTTATCTGTGTTTGTTTTTTTTTTTGGGGGGGGGGGGGGGCTTTTTTTTTTTTTTTTTTTTTTCGGATTATTTTTAATTGGTATCAGTCCTTGTTATTTTATGGGATTAATTTACTTTGTACCAATCCACGCACAGCGCCGCATCAATGCTATACCGTGATTATCGATCTTTTATTTGTAAATATGTATATAGATGTGATAACCAATATTTTTGTAAATATGCATATAAGTACTATTTAACATATCAAAATGATTTAAATCATTACCAATGTACATCATCAAATTTTTATGTGTATGTGTGTTTTCCTGTTTATAGCTTTGCTTGTTGTTTGTTATTTTTTCAATACGTCCCAAATATTATATCTATGACCCTCTTAGTTTCTGGTGATATTGAAAGCAATCCTGGCCCT